AGAGAGAACTGCATGCTACCACCTCATGTCTTCAAGGTCACTTCAATAAGCTGGAAGAAGTTAATGCTGGATGTAATTTGCTGAGATACCAATAATTTCTGAGAGCTACTCAGAAAATATTCCTCCACACAGCACTGAGACCCAGAAGTAAACACTATGTGGCAGTTCTTGCCAAACTTAAAAATACATTGTGAATTTAGGTCTCTAGCCCAAAACAGCAACTATCAACAAAAGCAAGCAATCAAATAATTACAGAAGAATAAAGCTGAAGGAAATCTCACATGTACTACAACTTCACCTGAGCTGAGAAACAGCTGAGAACATCTGTCCAACATGATCTTAAATTCTGAGTAGCTTATTCCAAGGTTGCTTTATCTTTACAGCTTGAGTCCAGCACAGAACCATAAAGTTGATTAAGGAACCACAGCATCTTTCATAAGAAGAGAGGCTACAAGAGCTGGAACTCTTCAGCCTGGAGAAAAGGAGACTCAGGGGAATCTTATATTGACAAGATAGGAGAAAACAAAAAGGAGGGAGCCATACTCTTTTCCACAGTGCCCACTGACAGGAAAAGAGGCAATGCACACAAACCAAAATGCATGAAGTTCCATCTGAACACAAAAAAACATTTTTTTGCTCTTGAGGGTGGTCAAGCACTGGAACAGGCTGCTCAGAGAGGCTGTGAAGTCCTGCAGAGTCCCCACCTGCAGAGACATTCAAAACCCAACTGAAAATGGTCTTGGGCAATCTGCTTTATCTAACTGCATGAGCAGAAAGTTTAGATCATCTCAAGAGGTCCCTTCCGACCTGAATAATATGCTCTCAAGTTTCATCTGTGGTTTCATCAGTGCAACAGAAGAAAGCCAGGAATTTAATTTAATTAATTGACATGAACAGGAGGAAGAATTATACAGCTTATGTAGGTTTTTTTATGCCATTTCCCCGTCAAAAAAAGCTTACTGCCCTGGTCTCCAGCATCTCTCAATGAGCCCCTCAGAAGGTGGAGTAACATTTCAGCTCTTCTGATCTACAAAACTCAAAAATAGTTCTCATCTTCCTTCTTACTGTCCAAGGCCCTCCATCTTCACTGTATGATTCTTTACACTGAGTTCTGACCCTCTTATTTCACAAAGAGTTTATTGGTACTCCCCTTTCATTCTTGTCCCAGTGCACAAGAGCTCTGCTCAGCCAAGGCGGCACTTGCCCTCCGGCAGCACAGTTGACAGGTGCTGAACTCAGCAGTCTCAGGCAGATGTGGACTTCCCTGTGCTTTTAGCCACAAGAGATGGCTAAAATACAGAAATCTCAAAGCCACTGATTAATTAGAAAATGCTTTGGAAACATCAGCTTTTAAAGTGGGAAATTTGAAATGTTTCAAAGCAACGTAAGTAGGGACAAATAAACTGGAGCAATTGAAATGTCAAGTGTGCTCAAGAACGTATGAGGAAGAGAAAGATCACTGACTCCTACTGTGCACCTCTGACTCCCAGCTGCTCAATGCACACAGCAGATCTATCACAAGCCAGGCAGGAGGGGTTAAGCAGCAGGCTGGTCGCCGCGCCCTGGCTAGTGATGATACCCTGCTGGGCCTGAGCTGGTGTGTACAGAGACATCCTGAGCAAGACTGTTTAACCTAGAGAAAAGAAGATTTGGGGGGGAACTTACTGCTTTCTACAGCTACCAGAGAGGAGGCTGTAGACTCTCTTCTCCCAGGCAACATGCAATAGGACAAGATGAAAGAGCTTCAAGTTGCTTCAGGGGAGGCTTAGATTGGATACTGTGAAAAATTTCTTCACTGAAAGGGCGGTCAAGCATCAAAACAGGCTGCCCAAGCAAGTGGAGGGATCACCATCCCTGTAACTGTTCCAAAAAATCATGTAGATATGGTATTGAAGGACATGGTTTAGTGACAGACTTAGCAGTGTTAGGTCAGTAGTTGGACTCCATCTTGAAGATCTTTTCCAGCCATAATAATTCTATGATTTCCATCCCCTTAACACAGTTATTGCATAATCTGAAAAAGTCCCCACAGATAACAGGAGTACCTGTAAGTGCAAACTATCATGTGCTCTGTAGATTTCCAGAATTGAGAAACTTGAGAAGTAAAAATACCACATCTACAAGAGAGCAAGAGCAGGACAATTGTCAAAAAGACTAGATTAATGGTTCCTCATTTCTGAATTCACAGTAAACTAATAAAAATTAAAATAGGTTGCAGCATGTGATGTCTGGAGGGTGTCATGTTCCCACGATGCCCTAAACAAACCACAGCTAAGAGCTGTGCTAGAGGCAACATCACAGCCTGCACAGGACCAGTGTGAAGCCTCTGGAGAAGAATTTACCCTAACCACGTCCTGTACCACGCCTCACTAGCTCAGGATTCGGCAATTAGGAAGCTGAAGCTGAGTCATTTTAGCATCAGGCCCAGTTTTGACACTGCTGTTAGAAGTACAGGCAAGTGCATGTGAAGAGAAGTATTTCCCAGAGGAAGACATCCAGGCCCAAACCATTTCAAATATGGTCATGAACTTTATCTGCTAAGTGCTGTAAGAATTAAGGACTGCCTTAACCAGGAAAAATTCAGATTTAACTAAGACCAGAGCAGAAGCTGTGTTTCTTCGTGGGAGAGGTCTGCTGTCACAAACATTTTAAGTTACTCATGCTGCAACCAAACCATACAGCAGATTTTTTTTTTACCAATCAAGAAGAAAGTTTTCACAGTTTCACCCAAAAAAAAGGAACTATCTACACCTGGGGCTGTCTTCAGGGGAAACATCAGAACATTTGCATTTGAGGCCATTCACAAAACTTGTGTAGAATCACACAATAGAGGAGATCACAGAGTAATTTTTTCCACACACAGAAGTAGTATTTGATATGTTCATCCAAATACTTTGGCCATGAAGATAGCCCATCTTAGTTTCTTCCTTCACAAGAATCAGAGTGACAGCAGAGGGCTCACCTTTGCAACTGCTCTGATGTGCACAAACCAAACACCTGATATGGCATGCAGGTGACAACCACATCAGCTATGACTGCCATAACAGTAACAGGAGTCCAGAAATTCTGAACCTTTGTGTGCCAAAATATCCATAACATGTTACAGCAGACTCCACAGCAAGTGAGTTTACTTTTATCCCATTTTTTCTCTCAGTCAAGTATGCTGGAGTCAGTTTGAGATCAGTGTATTCTTATTAAAGTGAGAAAACAGAAAACAAGCTTATTTTTTGTTATGTAGAGACAGCAACAAACTCCCTTTCAAAACACCACCTACATAAAGCCAAAGCACAGCTTGTTTCAGCACGTGCTAATCTGCAGCACAGATGGAGAAGATCCAACTCTGAGAAGTCAGACTCTAGAGCCTTACCCTAAGTTTTGCAATGGATGTCTGGCAGCCAGCCAACTAAAGAGCCAGGAAGCCCACTAAATTGCTGCTCAGAATGTAGCAAGTTTGGCAGCAAGACTGGAAAGAACTGCCTCTGGGGAAAGACTTCAGAATCTACATACCTTTGTATTCTCACACACTCCTCAACTACACTAGAACTCACTCCTCGTCTGGCCTAAAATAACTTTGACAGTCCATGGGTATGTTTAGTAACACTATTAACACTAATAAATCTCCCCAGTTTTGAACAGAATATTTTAAATCAAGAAAATATTGGTTCTGTGTTCTAGACCTGAGTTTGGAAGAAAACAGTACCTAAATTTTGCTTTTGACAGAAAGTGCCAGAAAGGCTAATTTAATCTCCATTTGGTTTTATTTTGCAGAGTATAAAAGTTCAGCCACTGCTTTCTGTCTCCTTCCAGACTGAAAGGAAAGGAGACAAACTACTTAAACTTAGGTTTGGTTTAGCTCTAGCATTGGGAAAACAAGATGTTTTAGAGGTGTGTGAAAGGGAGATGTAAATTTCACTTTACAACGATCTTTAAAACATACTAAGAATTATCTGTTGCGACCTGGTTGCCTGAGTGACATCTTCAGCATAATCCCTAAATAATCTTTTTTCAGGGGAACTGTTTTGGCCAAGATCATACATTCAAAATTTATTTTTACTGTGATAAATTTGTCATCATGATTATTGCAGTTGTTGTATCCTGGCATAAGGCATCTTTATGCACACAACACTAGACACACTGCCTCATTTATGCCATGGTAGAGAGATAAACCTTAAACCAAGATGCAACTGCAGGATTCCAGTCTTGCTGAGGCTGACAAAGAATACTATAACCCTACCTATGGTAATGTCATAAAAATACACAGAGCAGCATGACTGCCCAGAGCTCTCCACCCTCATTTCAACAGAAACAATGAGAAGGGAATTCTACAGTCTTCTAGGGTATAGAAAGTTTGGAAACAATTAAAACTCAGTACATTGGGCTTGTATAGTCTCCAGCTGTTAATAATACTGTGCTAGTAAGTCCTCTACACTAGTTACAAGGTGATCACTTTCAGACTGCTTGGGTTATTTTTAAGGCCATCTCTGCTATTCTTTAATCAATCTCTGCTTTTTCATTGTAAGTTGCCAGTATGGTTATATCTTCTACAATCTACATTCTCTAGCTCAGTGCTAGAGAATATGTATCAGACTTTATTTTGGTTCCGATATGACAGAAACAAGTCAGAAGAGAATTCTTTTCCTTAAACTATATAAATATAAGATAATTTTCCATTAATTTGTCTCAATAAACTACAGAATACAATATTTACAGGCAGAAATTTAAACACAGAAAGTTTTCATTTGCAATTTGCTTCAAAAGCAGGCACCCAAGAAAACCTCAGAAGTTCTCTGTGAGTTGCTGGTAATTTCTCCTGAATTAGGGACCAACCGAACAGGCATAGAAAAAATATGCTTGCATAACTTTCTAGTTTACAAGGGTTGGACAATTTGCTTTAGTTTGCTGTTTAAGTAAAGCACATTACCAGTGTTAAAATAAGAATAAACAGTACCATGTATCTCCCTCCTCCAACCAGAAAGCACAGCTCCTAACTATGGTCTTACCTTCTGAAATAGCCTTCTTGACAGCTGCAAGGTAAGCATCAGGCTCATCATCATTTGTGAGTTCTTGCCACTGAGACCAGTCCTTGAAAAAGGTCAAATAGTCGTCACAGTCCGTAACACCACAGAACAGCTTGACTACTTTGTACGGGGGCCATAAAGCTTCCTGAAGGCTCTGCAGGATGTGAGGAACATAAAAGCTCTGCACCAGCTCAGCAGAAAGCAGAAGGATGATACTCCGACTTCTGCTGAACAGGTCCAGCTCCTGGTGGGAGATGGCAGAGTCGTCTTCCAGCTGGTAGCTCAGAATGCGATGCTGTCGAACATGCCAAGTAAAGAGGAAGAGGTTCTGGAGGTACTGACACCATTCAGTGGCGTCCCTCGCATACACAATCAGCACGTCATATTCTCCAGGGGCTCCTGAACAGGTGCGAGATGACCACAGGAAAAAGGATTAAATTCAAACCATGAACTGACCCACAGCTTTGCAACCAAAAAACCCACAGCACTGTCTTTAATTCCTGTCAGAAACTACAAAGCATTTCAAAAGAACAGTAGTTCTATCCAAAGTGAGGTGTTCACAGCCACAAAGCAATTCTTAGGGTGAATGAACTCCTACTTGCATCTACTCCATTAGATTTAAGTAGTTTTTTCATTCTTAAAAATGAAAAAAATTAAAATGCTCTTCCTATAAATAAGAGCATTTCCTATGTAGTTTCAAGTGAAATACACTACACGCAGAGATTTATAGCTTTAAAGTGTTCTTATAGGAAAAAAAAAACCACAAAAACCAGACCTTCAAAACAAACTAGCTTGAAAAGAGGAGTTCACTCTCACACTAAAAGTTAAAATAATTTTAGGCAATTATAGGGTCTCTGCAACACAACTGCAGATCATTACATGCCCAAGTGGAGCAGACACCAAACAGCACACCTAAAATAACAAAATCCTTTATTTAAATGAGGTCACACAATGCTTACAGGAAGTCACTATGGCCCCCGTGGTGTTAGATATTTGCTCTCATTGCAGCAGAAAGCAAACTGCCTGCAAAACATGCATGCAGCTAAGAGAACATCAGCCCCAGTGCTCACACCATAGCCACTCTGTCCTTCAGGCTTCAGACATTTCACAAAGCCATGTTAGGGTTCTTTCTCTAAACTGTCACAGAAAGTTTTCCCAACAATTTTTGGAATGACAAACACTCTCTTCAGAGGGAAAGAGCTAATACAATAGTGTTAGTCATAAGACAGTCCAAAATATGCTCACCAAAGTTGACTTCTCCCATAATTCTCTGGAGACAGCTTGTACCTACAGACTCATGCATTTCTGTGCTCTGGCACAAAAGCACTTAAAAATGTTAACAGCTTTCTAAGGCTAGATGCAAATTGAACCAGTGTGACTTCCACCAATCTCAAGGAAACTTTTACGTCTAAATTTAATTTTTCCATTTACCTGTGAAGAAGTTTACCCAAAATTGAGGTTTACAGCAGAGGCCCATGGTAAATTCCAGAGCTGAGCATTTAAAATCTTGTTAACAAATTGTCTTCTAATTCCAGTTTGACTCTTCAGAAATGTCAACATTTCCAACTGATCTCCATCATGAAGCAAGCAAAGGCAAATTTTTCCAATTAAAGCAGAGAGCAATGCCTAAAATTTGGCATCCAAAAAGAGGATCTGCAAAGTGCATTTACCAGAACTGAAGATGACAGTTTTGCAGTCATCTTAGAAAAATTCAACCAAAATTGCAGTCTCCAAAGACTTTATTCTATCACCTTCCCCAGAAACGTCATTAAGATTGAAACAATGTCTAGGCTGAGGGATCCCAGCCCTAAACTATAAAATTAGCAGCTTTAAACTGTGGTTCAGCAGCAGTGATACAATTGAATGGAGATGTGCTCAGTGCTTGACTAATAGTGTTATGGCTACCTGCATAAATAAGGAAGTCTCTAGCAGTGAAAGGATGATATCCTAGTTATGGAGAACATGGACAGTGCACTGCTGACATATTCACTAGGTCAACTGCATGTTTGTGTGTGAGTACAGCTCCTGAAGCACAGGTGGGGGCTTGTAGGAGACAGCACTCCCAAAGGAGAGGATCCAGCAAAACTCATAAAGCAGAGTCCTCGGGACTCAAGACCTTGGGACCTTTAAGCTAAGAGTGCAGAACTGCTGTGAAAAAAGATGGCTTTCACACCAGTGAGCACACCACCACTGCCAAAATATCACCGATGGTGGCTGAACACCACCTGGCAAAGACAACAGAATTACATGAGCAAAAACATGAAAACCACGCAGAATTCAAGTTTTAGTCTAGAAAGGGAGATGTACCACAGACTTCTGCTTCCACTGCCCTGGGCTGATTTACATGCAGTACAGTGGGAAAGGACAGCACAACTGTCTGCTGAGAATGGAGCCCACACACTGCACCATGGCCAGCTGAGCCCGACCTCAACAGATGGGGAGAGCACACAATGATTCCCTGAGGTGTGCCCAAAGCTCTTAAAGTCCTATCCTGGTGCCCTCTGGCAGCAGCCCCACCTCCAGTCTCTGGAAAAATCAGTAATGGCCTCCTGCACACTTTAACATTCTGTAAAATGGAACAACTAATCCTGTCATTCACTTTCAGGAAGCACACAGCTTCCACAACCATACTTGTGGGCCAACAGGCCCTTCTCCAGGCTTTCAGTGTAAGTAAGCAGCTGTGCACAGAGACAAGGTGGAAGAGCCATTGAATTTAAATGTGCCTTGTGCTGCAGGGGTACAAAGTATCAAAGAATCCCTCCCTTCACCACCATTTAGATAAAGGATGCAAACTTGACAGACTCACTGCAAATTCCCTGCCAGAGCAGTGCAACCTTTGCATCCAGCAGGAAGGAACTTTCTCAGGTGTTTAGGAAAGGTATTGATTTCCTAGCTAGCTCTGCTCTACGAGAGCACCATTCCCCTGAACAGAGCTGTACCAGCTCTCCTCAGGTCTTCTTACCTCAGCTTCTACAGCCTTTTACACACACACAATAAACTGAGGAGCAGTGCTCCTAAAACGAGAAGTGAGAAATAAAATTACTGACTCCACTTGTGGAGACAAAGTAACATCCCATGTTCATAAGCAAAAATACTGGAAGTGGGTCTTGCAGAGCTTAAGTCAGCATTGGGAGTGTTTTAAAAAAACCCCCAAAAATCTAGAAATAATTTCAATTGCAACATTCTCCTTTAAAAGAAGAATGACACAGGACTCTCCTTCCTGGATCATGCTATTATTTGTCTAACCAAATAGCTGTCTTTCCAGCATTAACTACTGTCCAGTGCTCAGGGAACAGTGTAAAAAGAGTACAGAACACTACAGGAAGGTTTTTCACAATTCTTCAAACATCACAAAAACTCACAGAGCACAGTTCAAAACATAATGTATACTCTACCTATTGTACACATATAGGAGAATCCTTTGATGAATACCTAACATTTTATTTCCTTAAACCTTGCTCTTAGCTGGATGGTTTGACAGGCTGGTTTTGGAAAACTCCTCAATTTAAGGAAGAAATATATGAACACTATATACAAGATGAAGAAAAATGGTTGGCTGGCACAAGCCTATCTTTCACACTCTCAAGTGTGATCTAGTTTAAATTTTAACAATACCTTGTTACTGAAGCCCTAAGCTTAGAGTATTAAAATTTTACCTCTGTTTACAAAATGTTAGCACTAATAACAATACTGCAGGGCATGTTCATTTATTTCACAGAAGATCGTGAAGATGCAGTTCTGTTGCAGTTTGCAATGATAAACCATAACCTTTGAACTGCTTTCCAGCTGTAACTGCTTCATCAATGTTTAGCTGCACACTTCACTATACAGCAATGACAACAGACTGACATTACAAACCAGTACCACAATAATGCCTAAAACCTATAACTGAAGTGTAAGCCCCCAAATTAAAGAGCACAAACGACATGATACAAAGCTTTTCCTAGCTTACAAACTGCATAGAATGGAAGAGGATGAAACAATTCAGTAAAAATCACATATGCTCATGGCAAGAGAATAGAAGTATGCATGACCATGTCACATCTTCACAGTCCCTCTCTGAGAAGCAAATAAATCAGGCTCATCACCAAACTATGTCTGCAGGTAGTAAGGTGATGATCTTCAAGTTCAGCCCAAACATGTAATAGTGGTTTATGGCCATATCATAAGGTTCGGATTACCACTGAAATAGCTAAACAGTACTGTGGGAAGCTGGAATATCAGCTCTGGGTAAGACTACATCTTACATTATCAACTGTTACTACATTATTTCATTCCATAAGCCAAAAGGTTTGACCCTTTTTCAATTTATAGATCATGAAGTTTGCTATTGTACTTGTGGGCCCCATGAAGCATATTCAGGGCTTGTAGTAATACACAACTTTTCTGTGTCATCTTTCACATATCCCTATAAGTAGATCATGACTTCTCATTGTCCACAGACCAGGTAAAAAAACTGAGACTAAATCCTTCACTCCAACTCAGAGGATCATATGCAGTGGCATATTTTCATCTGCTAGGAAAAAATCCATCTCCAATTCTGACTACATAAGAAAGGCATTACGTAGCCTATTCCAGGGTGTTTTGCAATTCATTATGTGTATGTAGGATACTGAAATATTGCTGTCCAAAATAACAATCCTTCATAGATGGGACTTCACTCTTCATGAAAGACAATTGTCTGTGGTATAAAGGAAACACAACTCAAAGTGTCTTAATAATCATATTCTTAAAAGAGAGAACACTTCCAGGAGGTGATAGAAACTGCTATTAGACATTTAAGAGAAGTCCTTGGCACCTTCCACATTTCAGTAAATGAAGTGTGTGTATTTAAGTGATGTATGATGAAATAAATACACCCTCTGAATACATGGAATGCACAGTAATAGTTATCACATGCAATAATTATTAACATCCAAGTGAGACTTCTTATCTCGACTGCAATAGAAAATCTTCACTTTCAATAAAATACTGAGGACAAGCGAGAGGAAATGGCAGAATCAAAGCAGATAAAATTTCTGCAAACCAATCTTCACAGAGAGGAACAAGGGATTTGCATTATGATACATTAATCTAAAGTTGTTCTCTTTTTAAGGGTCTCTGTGAAATCACCTTGTTTATAAGGAGAAAAGTAGTTTTGCCCACAAGTCTCCTGAGGCCGCCGTTTAGCTTATTTTTACCTCACAAGGAGATATGCGTCAATGAAACTCAAATGTTGCTTCACACCCTGAGAATGGCACGTTTTTTCCTTTTTTAGATGAAACCCATACGCTTCCCTGCAAGGAGAGGAACTTGCAAATCGGGCATTAACAAGACTTACACAATACAGGCTAAACCCCTCTCCCCTCGAGTTTGCAACTCTATTTTAGGTACTTTTACCTGCACATATGATAGCTAAAACATTTTCAGCTATGGCAAACTAGCTCAGCTTGTGATCCTGTGCCACTGTGGCAAGGGCCACCAAGTCATAACTCCAAAAGGAAATGGTGCTGAAGGATAAAGCCGTATTTAGAAAAAACTGACTTCTCTATAAAATATCACAGAAGAACATGCAAGTGGTAAAGGCGGACAGGGGAAAATTTCCCTACAGAACACCCTCCCTCAGAGCTCGCTGATCGGCCAAGCCGAAATGCACTTAAACCGCAGTGAAAGTCTGCCAGCAGGTGCCCTGAACTCCAGACAAGTGAAGCAACAGCGCTGCAGCCCGGCTATGAGCAAAGGAGCCCCCGCTGCTCCGAAGGGCGCCAGGGTTCCCTGAACACCGAGAGCGGACCCCCGTTCGCCAGCAGCGGGGCGCCAGGGGCGCGCAGAGCCCCGCCGGGGGAGCGCCCAGGGCCCCGCTCCGCTCCGCACCTTGGCGCGGGG